AAAAAAAAAGAGAGGGCCTGTGGAAAATAAAGGCGGGGAGAAGAAATGGGGGGTCTTTTTCACTCCCCAAGAATGAGGAAGAGAAGCCTCTATTTGAGGACATCTTAAAAATAGGACTAAGTTTAGGGGAATTGTTGGAGACAATTTTGAGAAAAAACCATAAAAAAGAAGAATAAGGAAGCTCTTGGAGATGCTCTAATGTCTTTATATAGCTACACCACAAACACACACTAAAACACACACATTTAACAATTTAGCACTCGCTAGGTAGCGAACTAGTTCGCTAGATGAATTGGTCTTGTGGTCTTGTGGTCTTGTGCATACTCGCTAGGCGGCGAACGCGTTCGCTAGGCGAACTGGTCTTGTGAACTTGTGCACACTCGCTAGGCGGCGAACGCGTTCGCTAGGCGAACTGGTCTTGTGGGTCTTGTGCACACTCGCTATGCGGCGAACACATTCGCTAGGCGAACTAGAATTCCGGATCTCTTGCACAGTAATGACTCAATAATGGCTCGGGGGTTCTCGGAATAGTTCATGCTCTCGGAACTTGGCTCGATTCTTCTCTTTCATATTCCAAAATGGACCTAAAAAATTGCACCAAAGACACGAGAAAGTACGCCAAAATACAAACACCAAAGAGAAAATGAAAACACATAGAATCAAATAAAATGGACCGGTTAGACAAGAAAACCAACCTAAAACCGACTCAACTACACACATAAAACACATAAAAAGAAGCACAAATCACTATAAACACCATGCAATCTCATGTGGTCCCAAGAACTCAAGTTCACACCCTTAATTCATCTCAGTCGTAGATTTTAGATAACTTAGGAGGGCACTTGTCCACATTATCTATGATTCATTCTAGTATGAATATGTACTGAGAAAATTATGTAAACCTAAGAATTATTCACGTGAACAGTGTGGCTCAATTCATTGTTTTTGGGATCTGAGTTCTTCTATCATGTCTTCCTTATTGATTTTTGATCACTTTTTCTATTAGAAAGAAGTACAGAACCGCTATAGGCTTAATCCATATTGATGCATATGATCTAAAAATTATGTAAACAAGAATGGGTAAACATTATTTTATAACTTTTATCGATGATTGCACAAGATTTTGCTACTTATATAAGCTGCGTTTAAAAAACTTTAAGAGAGAAGTTGAAAATCAACTCAGCAAAATGACTAAGATAAATAGAATTGATATGAGTAAGGAGTATGTATCATTTTGAAGAAATATGTTCTCAATTGACATAATTCATCAAACGACTGCCCCTTATACTTCACAGTCGAACGGTGTTTCTGAACGCAAGAACCAAACCTTAGAAGAAATTATGAAGTCTTGTTGATAAATTCGGGATTACCCCAAAACGTATGGGGGAAAAATGTTTTAAACTAGGTTCTAAAAACCAGATCGAATTATTGGGTTCGATTGGTTCAACCGAAAACCGACCAATGCATCAGTCCGGTTTTAGATACGGAACTGCAGCAGCCAGAAATCGGCTAAAAACCGCTTGAACCAATTAAAAACTGTGAAAATCGTAAAATCGGTAGTGGTTAGTATGTCCCAGCGGTCCAGTTGTGGACTTTGTGTAGACGTGGTTGTAGAACAATTAAATAGCTGACTAGTTTTCTTTGTCTATGTGATATGAGATGTTCACAACAAATAAAGGCTTGCCAAAATTATTAGATCGATTCGATGACTGATTTGATGACTGATTTGGTTTTTAGAACCTTAGTTTTCATAGCAATTCATATCCTGAATAAAATACCACCTAAATGGAAAAATGAGACTCTTTACGAAATGTGAAAAAATCGTAACTCTTCTTTTAAATGCCTGAAAGTTTGGGGGTGTTTGGCTAAAGTTTCAGTTTGTGAACCTAAAGAAATGAGAATCGGACCAAAGAAGGACAATTCTACTTTTATTAAATATGCATACAATAGTACAAGATAACGATTTCTTATTCATAAATGAGAAAATCGAGAGGTATCAATAGGTACCACAATTAAGTCTAGAAAAGTTATTTTGAGAATATGTTTCCTCAAAAGGAAAATACAGAATTTAGTTCCAACTAAATAATGTATAAAACTGAGTTCCATTAAGGAAGCTCTGTTCAGCCCAGATGGACCATTCTGGAAGAAGATATAAATAGTGAAATCGAGTCTATTATGCAAAATCATACTTGGGAGTTGGTTGATCCCCCTGCGGGTTGTAAATATTTTGTATACATGTGGATCCTAAAGAGAAAATACAAAGTTGATGGAACTTTTAAGTTTAAAGCACAATTGATAGTCAAAGGCTTTAAATAAAAAGAAAAGTATGATTTATTTGATACATTTTCATCGGGTTACATGTATACCTTCTATAAAGGTACTTCTCTAAATTGTGGTTTTTCACATTTTTGAGATTCACTAGATGGATGTCAAGACGATATTTTTGAATGGTAAATTGGCAGTAGAAATTTACATGGAACAACTTGAAGGTGTTATAGTACCTGGACAATAGAAAAATAGTGAAAAAATTGATCAAATCCTTGTACGAACTGAAACAAGCACCAAAACAGTGGTATTTGAAATTTGATGACGTGATGATGTCAAATAGGTCAGAAATCAATGAATGTGTGACAAATGTGTTTATTTAAAAATATATCAAATACATTTATAGTTGTGTGTCTATATGTAGACCATATGTTGATCATTGCGAGTGTTTTGAGTTTTTAGCCGAGTAAGGAATAACTCCGACCTCGGTGGTGTCTCTTGAGGAAGATTGTTCGAATACAGATTCAAGCATCGATTGGCTCACACAAGAAAAAAAAAATAACATCATTATAAAACTATATAATTTTATCAAAAGAAAAAAAATTCTATAATTTTATTATACTGATAGATAACAAACCTACTCAAATTGGTTCTTATTGTCTAATCGTCCTGATCATCCCATTTATAACAGCAGAAGAATTTGTTCAATGCTCAACGCGATAAATACATTACATAGGGTTCCCCACATGTCATCGAAGTGTCTAATTAGTTGTCAAACATTCATTAACTCATATAGAGCACCTATGTTTTGCACCGCACTGTAAAAATATATTAAGTTTTCCATTTGACCCATTAAGAATTTATCTTTTTTACCTTAAAAAATGTAAAAGATTATATGCGCACTGCATAATTGTCACATGTATACGCATAAATGTCACAGATTCATTGTGCTTGCTTTCTCACTTTAACTTTTTCACCTCAAATTATGCAAATGAAACACATAATTGTCACATATATATCACATAATTGTCGCATATTTATTGTGCAATGCCTTCACACTTTGTAAGGTAAAAAAATTTAACTTGTGAGTGGACAATGTGAAAATTCTAATGTATTTTTATAGTAAGATGAAAATAGCTATTTTCACTAATAAATATCCATGTTGGTGTGTAGAGTTGTAAATCAAACTAATCTTCACTAAATAAAGCTCGTTCATTTATTAATGGAACTTAGTACGAAAAAAAATTAAGCTCGTTCACATTTGAATAAAGTTCTTCCATTTATTAATCGAATCGAGTTTTTTTTTTACAAAAAAAAGTAAGAACAACTATATATGTATATATATATATATATATATAAATGTGTGTGTGTGTATGTGTGTGCGCGCGTTCTCATTATTTTATTCATATGTATGATATTTTTTTATATAAAAGTTATAAAATATCAAAACATATAGTTTTTTTTAAAAACAAATTTAATTTTCATGTTCAAACGATTTTGAACAAATTAAACTCGAGTTAATCAGTCTTTCTTTAGAAATAGATTGAATGAAGCTTACTCTCTTGAAGAGGAATATTGGAGGCAAAAATCTAGAGTAAGTTGGCTTAAGGAAGGGGATAGAAATACTAAGTTCTTTCAAGCTAGTGTTAAGCAGAGAAGAACTAGTAATAGCTTGCAGAATTTAGTTAAAAGTGATGGGAGTAGATGTGTCAATAATCTTGAAACTGTGGGTGAACTGTATAGATATTTTGATAGTTTATTCAAAACCTCTAATCCTCTGGTTGATAGATGTAATTTGGATGGGATTCCTATATCTATTTCTGATGAGATGAATAGATCTTTAACCAGAGAGGTTTTGGAGGATGAGATTAAGACTACCCTATGGGAAATGGATCAACATAAAGCTCTAGGTTATGATGGTATGTCCCCTGCCTTTTTCCAAAACTCTTGGCCTTCTATAAAAGATGAAATTTGCCTTGCTGTGAGAAACTTCTTCCAAAATGGGAAAATGCCCAGAAACATGAACCATACTGTGCTAACCCTTATTCCCAAAAAGAAAAATCCCCAATTTGTTTCTGATCACAGACCAATCAGTTTATGCACTGTTGTTTATAGACTTATTGCTAAGATTCTTGCCAATAGACTCAAGTCTGTCTTGCACTGCTGCATATCCCGATCCCAATCTGCTTTTATTCCAGGGAGGCAGATTATAGATAATGTAGTTATTGCTAATGAGTGTATTCATTTTCTTAATGGTAAAAGATCTGGCAAAGAAAAATATATGGCTATTAAACTTGATATGGAAAAAGCCTATGACAGAGTTGAATGGAATTTTCTTGCTAAAATGCTAAAAAAGATGGGGTTCTGTGATGTGTTCATTTCATGGATTCTTGCTTGTGTTTGCTCTTCTTCTTTTTCTTTCAATGTGCAAGGTTCAATCATGGGGTTTGTTGTTCCTACTAGAGGGTTAAGACAGGGAGACCCACTGTCTCCCTATCTCTTTGTTTTGGTTTCTGAAGCTTTTTCCAACTTGATCAAGCAAGCTTGTAATCTCAAAACTTTCTTTGGTGTGAAATTTGGTAAATATGCTCCAGTGA